TTTTCAACCCATACTACCAAATAACCCTGACCCAACCAATTCTACACCCTCTTATGCTTCCCAAGTCACTCCAACATACTCCTCACTTCACTCAGACCAATCATCTCATTCTCCAGACACCCACCGAATCTCCCCAGAACTAGATAATTTCATTACTCTACAACAACAACCCTACCACCTTGACACCCCAACCATAAACCAAATCTCATCCACAATAGATTCATCCAACCCTCCTACCCCTACACCCTCTTCAATTTATACTGAATCATTAGCACCATCATCCACATCTACTGAATCTTCACTCAGCACTAATAGAGCTTACCGCACTTTTAAAAGAAAGTTCCCCAACCATCCTTTCCCGGCGAAACCAGGAACAGCCCGTGAATATATCAACCATCCAAAACACACTAACACAAAAGAATTTTTAGCTATCACCTTACCCTCATTTCCACAATACACCTTAAACACCCCTCACGACACTAATGAGACACGTAACTTTGTAGACGAACACGTTTTAATGCCTACCCTTCCTTGGACCTCATATTATCATTATACTAATCCCCTTTGCTTACCTTTATCTAACACTCACATCGATATAGAACGAAATAAGGACATGCTATATCGACTCACTACACCACTAACACCTAGACAATTTACTTACATTGGATATAAAAAATCACTAAAAACACACACTGCACCCCGAGCAAATGAATATACACTAGAATATTACGATCATAACATCATCAGAACTAACCAAGATCAATTCTTAGACGACGATCGCTTCGCTAACCCACAAATCACCGAGAAATTTTTCATTAAAACACCATATGTATTTACACTAAGTATCTTCGATCGCAAGTTTGACCACATTATTTCAGAAGCACTAACAGACACACAAGCCTACGAAAGTTTTAAAGAACGCTTCCAAATATTTTCACTAACCTTTCATTTCCTTGCACCACATGAAAGAGATTTGCACTGCTCACACGATATTATGTTGCGCACTAAACAAACAAACACATATACTTATTATCGTTTTATCCAAAATCACTTCGACCTACACATTCCCTCCAGACAACCACACCATCGTTTTCAATTCATCAATTCCAAATACACCTCACCATTCTTTCTTAACTTCACATATTGCATTAAAGATACTAACCTTCATGGTATTCTTCGAAATTATGATCCCATAACCCAAATGTATATTTTTTGTCCCATCACCAAGACCTTCAACGCAGAAGAATCCCGACCCTTCCTTATCCCACACGAGTTTGTACAACCTATAGAAATCCCCATTTTAGAATTCATCCATAACACTAAATTCAATCACAAATTATATAATCTAATCCAAAACACACCTTATGAATTTGCAGTTGGCACTGAAGAACTAACCACCATTAAAGCACTTCAATTGCTTTGGCCACTACTTCAAACTAAAAATATCATCCGCATTTTAGCTAAATTACTAACAACTTCAGATCTCATCCACGACATCTTCCCCCACGGTTTCTTCCCCGACGACTAACAGGTAAGTATGAATTATACATATTACTAACTAATTAAAATATTAGAAACTCACCATTCTTTATCCATGTTTTCTTTAGAATTTTAGCCTTCATCCAACGATCATCTGAAAAATTCACAAAAAAAAATAAAAAATAGCAAACTTCTTCAAAACTGTTTAAAACCCTATTAGATTTTTGCACCAACAATTAAATAAATATAATACCAATGCAGTAATTTAATTTATAAATTTTTCCCCCACAAGCAGTAAATCTAATAATGATGAAAATTTGTAACTTAATTTTCCCCAACAACTAGCAGTAAAATTGAAATTCTATGTAGTAAATTGATAAGAAGCAAATGCAGTACTAACCTTTTGATATTTCCATTCACTCGCACAAGAATTCTATCCAAACTCGCACAGCTCGCCCACGAAGAATTGTTTAAATAATGAATTTCAGTTTCAAGATTTCACAACTCAACAACTCTAACACACGATAACAAGTTTCAAACTTTCCTTTAACCCGGTTGGAAAGGAATTATATACTAAACAAAACTAACCAATGCAGCTTACTAAACACCACAACACATAGCATAACAGCATGACTAAGAAAAAGGAAACCAACGGTACCCAAACCGGATTAACCCAGTTTAAAACTGGATAATTTATTCTTTTGAAGACTATTATAAAGTCTAAGAAAAAAATAATAAAACACAAAAAAGTCGAAAGACAAACCCATACCACAAACAATTTGATTTTTGAAAAAAGGACACAACCAACAAAACATAAGAAAAACCACAACAAACCCAACATAAAACGTTGTCACATAACAGGACCTCTCACAAAAACCGCATGCAATCATACTCCCACTCCTGGCCTAACCCACCAGGAAGGACGTCCTGAGCATGCTCTATAGCCGGCCTAACCCACCGCGCTACATCCACGCTTTGTGACACACACTCCTATTTTTAATAAGAGCTACTCAAGGGTGAGTAACTCTTCAAAATAACTGAATTAAAACAAAAAGCTTTTGTGAAAACAACTAACTAAAATCATAATTAAAAAATATTAAACTAATAAAAGTTTTATAAAATGTAAATTACATTATGCAATACATAGATCAGAATACAACACCAAGGACGAACATCCAAAGACAAAACGACCCTACTACACTCGAGAAAGAATGGCCAACCACAATCAATATGCCGCCCACAATCACAACTCAAAGGATTTAGAGTACGACTTGACTTCGCAGAAAAGGACTTCATTGAACTAGACCAATGACCACCTCGATGTTCAAGTATACGTACAGATCCGAGTAACCAGGCATCCCCTCCACGCACAATCTCCACGCCATTCCAAGACAAGGTCAAACACAAAGAAGTTCTCATCAATGAAACAGAAAAACCTGACATAGCCAACCATTCTGAAATCAGATTTGAGTTTGTTGCGAAAACCCAGTCGTTGTCTTGAGAAGACACAACGATTGAATCTGGGACTTCTCTAATAAGAAAACCCAGAAGAAATAAGATGTTCGCCAAATACCAACGTCCATCATCCATCCTTTGAATTGCAGAAAGACTATTCTAAAAAACTCTGTAAAACCCGGATGGGTGGAACCTGATCTAAACTACATTTTATGATTGGATAAATTAGATATTTTACCAATGTAAAGTATTTAATATTAACCAATCATGATCCATCTGACTAACAATCCACTTATTTGTAAGTGCTGAAATTACTTGTAATTTCAGCACCAGAGAGATTTGAATTTAACTTAGAAATTAGTTGAACTCTCCCGAGTACTTCAGCAGCCGCAATAAACCAGTATACCCTAGATCTATTGAGCCTAGCAGAGACTAGTTAAACAACCTGAGACTAGATAGTATAAGAGTAAGATTAGGATCGGTATTAGACTAAGAAGTTGCACGAATCTATCCGGCCGAAAATAAGATAGCGTGACGAGCAGACGGTGTACCCTATCCGAAAAATTACTCTATGAGTTATACCCATCGGTCCTAACTCACTATTAACGCGTAAGCGGAGATTCAATCCATCTTAGAAATTGTTCCAAATTGGCTGAAAGAAGCTTATTTGCCATAATTGATTTGTTACAATGAGCGAAGTCTATTCTTTTGTACTTTATATGGCTTTATATGGGGGGGGGATGTTTTCATAGAAAATTTCAAGTTTTAGATTTTTTTTTTTTCATTTTATTTTTTCACATTTAACTTTTTTATTATTGCTCCATAAACCTTAAAAGGCAGTCGGAACTTTCAGGGCTTCGCCTTGATACGAGCAGTCTTGTTTATTCTGCTATCCAATGCTTAAAGGCCAGATGAATCATTGCTCAAGCCACCCCTGTTGTGCGTTAAATGATTTGAACTAAGAAATGAATAAGGGTCTGGGTTTCGATAGTTTCTGAAAAGCTAATTTATGTTTTAAGAGTTCAAGTCTCTCTGATATCGAAGTCAAAAGGGTCCTCTTGCGGATAAACTAGGGACTCGTTGTCTTTATTAGCACCAAAACCTAAACATGACACTCTCATTAGATGAAGCATCTTATTAGAGGAGTTCAATCAACCCATTTTTTCAATATACTTATCTCCTTTTTCAAAAAGGATAAAAAGGAGTGCAAGAAGCCTTTTGTATAGTAAGACAAATTTTTTTCTAAATTGGGGAATACGACAAGTATTTATCCTCATCCTTGCTCGACTTGAAAACAAACATCAAAATTTATGCGCGAATGGCTTACAGTACTAATTTAAACCATTTCATTTTGCTTCAACAAATGATTATTGCTTAAAAAGAATCAACCATTTTTTGTCTAAGTTTATGACGGTAATATCAAAGTTAAAAGTGCGAAATTGTCGAAAAAGCATTCCCACTGTTCCGATCTAAGAAAACTTTGCCAAGACCAAGCAAAATCGTGCAAGCTCTTGCAAGATATGCGAAACCCATGCAATATCTTGTCAAGATAATAATGTTACTTGGAAGCCTTACTATAATTTTTTGTTAAGAAAACCTGAACTATGCTCAAAAAGGGAGCTTTACTCACTGCCTTTGCTCGCGTGCGAGTCGTACAGCAAACCAGTTCATTATAGAGTTCCAAATTGGGTTTTTTGTATGCTTTTAGCTGGAAAAAAAGAATCTCGCTCGACATACTAAGCCATACAAAGCTTAGCTCAGGACCAGTCAGTGTCGGAATGGCAGAAACTGAATGACAATTAACTTGAAAAAAAATATATTTCATCAAAATAATAAAAACCAAAACCTTCCACTTTTTAAAAACAAAATCAAATTTTAATCTAGGACAAAATTTTTTAAAGGGCACCCTAACAGTTCAGTCAAAGTTACAGATCTTCTAAGCATGTCAACAGTCTACAAGTTTTGGCTTATTTTCTTGGAGTTGTGTCATTTTACGCAAATAATCAAATAAAAATACGTACTCAGTTTTCCAATCCCACCACGATTTTTCATACACTAATTAAAATATGCGCTTCAGAGAAGATTTCGACCCCTACAATGTCAGCAGACTCGGCTGGGAACCTTTCAACGTCGTCAACAATGCGTATCCCGGGGTTCCGAAAAAGAAGGTCGAGGCACCTCGGGAGCCAGTGAAGAACTTCAACTTCCAGATTGACCCTAAGTACCTCGATCTGCAAATGTACCATCAAGGACAGCTGAACTGGCTCAATGACCAGGCACTGGCCCACGTGATGAAGGAAGAACAAGCTCGGGAATTTGTGGACACTTCATGTGGTGACCTCAAGAGTTCAATTGATGAACTAGAAAGGTGGCTGAAAAAAATCGACCAAGAAGGTATATACGAGCAGTCTCGTTTTTCCAACTTTTGAAGAGGTATATGCACAAAAAAATCGACCAAAAAGGTATATGCACGTTTCTACAGAAAAAAAAACGGCTAAACAGCCAAAACGACAACGTTTCTGACAATCTATTTTACAAAACATTTATTTGATAAATTAGAAACCACGACAGCTCTTTGATTAGCCGGGGTAGGGGGAAGGGCGTACTAATTTCGCTACTACTTGTGAATATGTAATGTTCATTTGATTTATTTAATTTTTAATGTTCTTCAAAATTGTATGTTTCTTCGCTTCAAAGAGCGGTCAATCAAATGCACGAAGCAATTGAAGCGAGGGAGCTCAAACTTCAGTTTGAAAAAAATGTCGACTTTCAGTTGGCTCATTATGAAAAAGACTAACAGTTCACTTCAGAAAGAATCGATGTGAAGCTTCAGAAAGAAAACGACTGAAATTGTGATCAAGATATATTTTGACTCGATAGTGGAAAAACGCATGGCTTAGTGAATAGAAAAACGAAAAAAAAGCAACCATATGAAGGAAAACTTAGTTTTTTTTTCACTTCGGAAAAATGCATCACAGCAAAATTTGGATTAAAAGTATATTGGTTAGCTCTCTTTCTCGAATTACGTCTAGTTTTGACGATTACGGTTTCAAAAGAAACACTGTTGTGATTTGTTTTTAGTATGGTATAATGACCTTCGGTATTTTAATTAATACCAGTTTAGTTACGACCATCGGTCGATATGAACGGAAGTTCAGTTGTCCTTTTTAACGATCTTAATTCAACTACTTCCTTTTAACGTTTTAACATTTGAGCTTATGTACATACATTGTACATATAGAACTATAGAATTAGAATAGTTTATTATGGCGCAGTCAGCAGGATTCGAACGTGCGTGGAATTCCCCCCTTTTGGCCTAATCAAACTCTAGAGCCACCGCATGCCTGGACCCAATGGAGCGACCAATTCCAATTGGCGATCATTGCGAAAGAAAATCTGGATTTCGAGAGCCTACATGGACCAGAGATACCGGAGACGCAAATTCCAATTTTGGAACAAGCAACAGGCAGCGAGTCGGACGCGGAAAAAGCCAACAGAGAGAGCAGGAACAAAAGCACAATGAAACAGTACGAATCCGCAGAAGAGAAATGGATCAACGAAGAGAAGAGGAAATTTAATGGAATGAGACGAACGGAGGCGGACAAGAAACTGCGATCAATTTATTTCTAGCCCTAGGGAGTGAAGGAAAAAGAGTTTTTACACAAAAGAACCCGAGAGTCAAGATTCTAGCAATATCGTTCTCTGAGTTCTGGACTCTACTAGACGCAGCATTTAACAAACCGCCCAATATTACGTTCGAAAGATATAAACTACTAAATTGAAAGCAAAAAGATCGTGAATCGTACGAACAATTCTGGGGAGCACTGACGGACCTAGCCAGCACGTGCAACATCAAGGAATCCGACGAGGCGGAATGGATAAGGGATATCTTCATTTGCAATATGAAGAACACAGACACCCAGAGGACTTTTAGCTATCATAAGCCCGTCGGAAGCACTTAACCAAGCCCTAATCGACGAAAAGGGATATTTTAACCACCAGAAACTGACAAATATGTCACGGTCATCGACCAACGGGACAACTTTTAAATCTTTTAGTAACCACAATCATATCAAAAAGGAACCAAGCTTAAACATCGAAAGGAGTAACTCGTGCATGAAATGCGGAAATACATTTACGAAAGGGCACTTAAACGTTTGCCCAGCGAAAGACATAACCTGTAAAAACTGTAATTATAAGGGACACTTCGTCAAATTATGTAAATCACGCAATAAGAGACCAACTGTAAATAATGTATCAGATAATTACGTAAATACTGAGAATTGTACATACACACCTCCGGAAAACTCGTGGATGGAAGAAAAAGAATCGTGCGACGTGATATATGCGTGGAATGAGTACGGACAGAGCGACGATGACGATTTCTCGGTGTTGAGCGTCAGAACTATTTACGACAATATTGGTCTCGAAACAAAGAAACTCCTGAACCTAGGCATCGGCTGGGACATGATTGTAAATATGAACATACCTGTAGATTCAGCAAGCCCTGTAAGTTTTTTTAAAACAGAATGTACTACACGAAATTAAACTAAGATACCCGAACCTCAAGATACACACAGTGGAGAAAAGAATAAAAGACCTATACTGCGGATTCACCAATGAAAAATAATTGTCAGAACACAGTCCAATGGGTGGATCAGCGAAGAAACCCCATTCTTCATAACCGGCGGACACGAGCAAAACATATTGGGGAACGACAATTTACCTAAACTGGGCATAGAAATAACGCAGAGGAAATGCCCCCAACCAATCTGCATGGTCAATCAACCCACACTCGAGAGTGAGTACAAAAACTTACATTCTTTATCAGTCAAAATTTTTAACGAGTTTAAAAACTTATTCACTAGAGTGGGGAAAATACCTAACGATCGGAAGGTAACCCATTTTCACACACCTTTTAAACCAATACAGTCCAAAGGGAGAAGAGTACCACTCCACTTACTCGCGGGAGTGAACGAAGAGTTAAAAAGAATGGAAAAAGAAGGTCACATAATAAAATTAGAGAAATGCGACGAAGATTGTTTCATCAGCCCAATTGTAATCACTCGGAAAAAGGATACTTCAATAAAACTGGCACTTGATTCTAAGCTTTTAAATGATCAAATTTTTAAAAATAAGTATCAAACGCCGAATATTCATGAACTGATTGATAACGTGGCGCTCCAAATTTCAGAAAAACCCAACGGGCGAGTGTGGTTTAGTAATTTAGACCTGAAAAACGCCTATAGCCAACTTAAACTATGCGATCAAACAAGTAAACAGTGCAATTTTAGCATAGTAGGTGGCAAAACGACAGGAACGTATCGGTTTCTAACGGGATTTTACGGATTAGGAGACATGCCCAATGAATTCCAACGGGTCATGGACTCAATGTTGAAAAATATCCCGTTTACAAATTGTTACATAGACGACATCCTGGTAGCCTCGCGTGGATCCCTGGAAGAACACAAATCAATAGTGTACAAAATTTTATCAATATTAGATAAGAACAACATGGCAGTGAAATGGGGGAAATGCGCATTTTTTAAATCTGACATCGAATGGCTTGGCTTCAAGATCTCAGGCAATGGAGTACGACCGTTGGTTGGTAAAGAATATCTGAACTTCGCTCATTTTTCGGCTCAACAAACCAATATGTAAAATTCGTCCCTAATTTATCCACGTTAAGCTCTCCTCTTCGACCTCTTCTAAGCAAAAAATCGTTATACAAATGGGATACCAGCCATTCAATAGCGTTTGAGAAGTTGAAAACGGAAATTGTAAATATTGCAGTAAACAGCCATTTTGATATAAAAGAGAAGACAAGACTAAAAACGGACGCTTCACATAGCGGACTAGGGGCTACCCTAGAACAATTACAGGACGACCAGTGAAAAACAATCGCGTTTGCACCCAGATTTTTAAACAACCATGAAATGAAATATTCTACCAACGAATTAGAGTTGCTGGGAGTCGTATGGGCTACAGAACAATTCAGAAACTACCTGTACGGAACAGAATTCCAAATAGTAACTGATCACAAAGCGTTACTATCAGCACTTTCGGCAAATCATGGAAACAAAACGATGCATAGCCGATTGACCCGCTGGGTAAACAGACTCTTACCTTTCAATTTTAAAAATTCACATTTACCAGGAAAGGACATGGGCTTTACGGCCTTTTATCTAGACTTCCTTCGGGCAAAGCCCTTCCAATTTCCCATTATGACGACGAATTTGTAGTCGCTCCAATCGACAGAATTCAGAACATTTTATCGACTAATCAAGATTCTAAATTACTTACTTTAGATTCTGTAGATAGACCAGCGGTCGCTGTAAATACTAATTCACGAGTTAATACAATCCCATCGGGAAACGAAAATTCAAGCGACGTGATTAGTCAGAATCAGTTGAATAGCTCTTTAGCTTTACTCAATCTCAAGATTATTGCTGCTATCATATCTTGTATCGCTCAGTCGATAAAAATTTGCCACAATAATCACTCTCGGACAGAAAATTGTACTACAATTTGCCAACCAGTCGATAATTCCAAATTTAATTTTAAAAGTATTACCTTTTCGGACAAAGTCCTTTTACATTTCTTACTACCAAACAGACACTTCATACCATCCAACAAAAAAAACCAGAACTCCCAATGGACAAAGTGAACGAACCCCTTTTGATTATCCCCGAAGAACATAATATCGCCCTCAAATTCAGAGACGACAGACTTCCACCCGACCACGCAGACCTCTTAAGAAGATATAAGGCCGACCTGAATTTACCGAATTCCCCAATTCGCCTGGAAAACCACTGTTCGAAGAAATTGCTTCAGATCATGACTAGAGAAGACAAGGTGCTGTGGGATCTGATAGAGACGATAAAGAGGAACCGACCTATGGACATACTCGGGACTTACATGAAGAACTACACCAAAGACTTACACGTGAAGGATGAGCTAGTCTTTTTAGACAATAAACTAGTCGTCCCAGCTACCATCAGGGGAACTTTTAATTCAATGCTACACGAGACCCACCCAGGACAGTTTGGGATGAAATCCCTCGCCGAATATTTGTGGTGGCCACATATTTACCGGGAAATTTATCATCACGGGAGAACATGTACCCAATGTCTAAAAGCGGGTAAGAACATTAAAGTGTTTCTAGGCACCCATAATATTTCGAAACTTCCGACGTTGACATTCGCGAACGAAGAAATTAATTTGGATTTTTCGGGACAGTTGGATGCTAGCTGGGGTAACAACAAATTTATTCTTCTTTGAATTGACCGTTACACTAAGTTTCCTTTGGCCATGATCATCAATACCACCTCTACAAGAAACGTAATTTCTCTTCTAAACGATTACTGTCACCTTCACGGATTCCCAAGAAAAAT